ACGCATTTCCTAGTACTGTATTCATGTAAACAAGCTCAAGCCCAGCCAGCTGAAATGCTAAATCAGCTCATCAGGACACAACGGCAACTCTTTTCATCGTTTTATTTTTATTCCTCAGCTCCATTTATAATGTTAGTGAAGGTTTTTTTTACACCCAAAAAGGTAGCATTTATTTTTTCACCTTCTCTCTTTAGGAGTGATATTTTCTCTTTATACAACACATGACCTGAGATGTTGACATCTTTTGATATCATCATGTCTTACCAGCTCAGCATACTTCTTACAGAGGCCACCCAGCTTCTCCTCTGGAGTGCTCAATGTGTTGAGAGTCTGCATAAGAAGGGTGATCTCCTTGCCTAAAACACACAACAAAAAACAGATTTCAGTTTAAGAATAGGGCTGGTTATTGACACAGATTTCACTATTTGATTTGATTCTGAAATCATAAGCCCTCGATTAAATTTGATTTAGATCATGATCAGGAATATTTCAGGCAATTGTCAGAAAAAAATCTAATAAATCTAAATTACGCAAATTATATAGTACACGACTATAATATTAATGTTTAACTGACAAGAAAGCCCAAATTCAATTGCTATTATTTTTAGATATTATAATCAACGCTCAAATAAAAAAAACTGACAGTTTACATTTAATTTGCTAATTTAAACAGTTGCAGCAAAATTCGAGCAAAAATTGTCTCTTCTCAATAGCGTAGAGATGCAAGAAGCACCGCTCACACAGAAGTCACGTTAAAACCAAGCAGGTTTTTTTTTTTAGCTCAATGTGGAGAATTTATGTGGCCAACTTAAAAATGAGCAACCTTGCTTGGGGACGTGTTTCACCCATACATGAAACTCCCGATCGCCTGGATTCCTACAGGAATGACTGGGTTTCATACACACAATTTTGCAGAGCAACAATGTGACTAAATTTATTTGATCTAAAAGTACAGTAAAGTACAAAATTCTAAAATATCAGTAGAATTTAACTGTTAATTGAAAATAACTGTTGTCTATTTGAATATATTGTAAAATGTAACTTCTTCCTGTGATGTAAAGCGGAATTTTCAGCATCATTACTCCAGTCTTCAGTGTCCCATGATCCTTCAGAAATCATTCTAATATTCTGATTCTGAAACATTTCTTATTGTCAATGTTGAAAATTGTTTTTGTGGAAAAGAAAGTTCAAAGAACAGCAATCATTTGAAATGGAAATCTTTCATAACATTATCATTGTCTTGTCACTGTTTAACTGTGCCAGAAAATGTAAAGAGCATTAAGAGTGAGCCAAAGGTAGGCGTTGCTGCACATTCAGGCAAACACATTGACTCACCCAAGCCCTTCACTTTCTTCTTGTCCTGCAGCTTTTTCCGGTCCTTCTCAGTGCATCCATTGCCGTTCAGTTTGGCCTCCTTCTCAGACAGCCCGTTCACTTCCACACCATCAGGCTGGCCGTTGGTCACCGCCGCATCCTCACCGCCAACACCACCATCCTCAAGACAATAGGTGCTGAGGATGTCCTCCAGCTGTCTGCTCAGTTCCTCAGCCATGTCACAGGAGGCAGAACTCGCTCCAGCCTCTGCCACTGAACACAAGAAACATGGAAGGTGAGTGAGAAGAAATGTGGCAGTGAATAATTGGACACACTAGGACACACTTACAGCCTTCCTCTGCCTGAGAATTGTTGGTTGGTGTGCCATCCGGCTGTGTTATGGCTTCTTTAGGGCTGTTGGTCATCTCAGATGCAGCGGTGCTCTGTATCTCTGTATCATCCGCACTGCTATCAGCTACTGGATCCTCCATCTCACTCCTCTGCATTGCTGAACAAATACTAAGAGACAACAACACACAGGTAAACGACTACAAGACATCATATTGCATCTATTAGCTTGAACAGTTTCGGTTTCAGTTGCAAATTTACGAATCTGTTGTGTGAGAGACTGGCAAACAAACGAAGATGACTGGTTAACTCACTATATATACACAATATCATAACACGCTAATCGCTAAACGCCGACTTCAGATCACACCTAGGACATTCAATCGATTGTCAATCATAAAATGCTTCGTGTAACTTTCAGTCAATAACAACTGACAGACGTCCAAAACAAAGAACACGCGCTACTTTTAGCTGACGGTTTAAAACTGTAGATAAACATAGAAGTATAACTGAGCGCTGTTGCTGGGCAACATCTCGCTCGACTAGTTTAGCAGTCATGGCTAACCAAACGCTCAGTTAAACATCTGCTGACTGACTCGACGCGCTCTACCGTTTGACAGTTTCACAACAAACACCTTAAATGCATCTCTGCTGTCAGCTAATACCGTTTAAATGAATACCAGTGTTTTAGTTTGGTCCAAGAAACCACTTCTGCTGTTTGTCACCACTCTTTACCCTTCCCACTGCTGCTTCCAACTGACACAGGAAATGCCAGGGAAACAATCGAAGATGATTGGTCGAACATTTGCAAACTTCCGGTGTCATTTTTTTTATTACTATTATTGTATGGCAGTGCTTTATTATTTATTTGTCGTTGTTTTGTTTTTATATTAGCTTTGAATTAATATTCCTAACAAAATATTTCTCGATAACGCCGATCTGGGCGATAGTGATGGCAAAAAGAAGCTTTGAATCAATCGAACCAACTGATCCGTGCTCGAAACACCGCAAACTAGTTGAACCTGCTAGTCAAAAGCGGGGAAAAAAAAAAAATATATATATATATATATATATACACAAGTATGAAATGTTTCGAAACCAGAATCCCCATTTTCTGAAATCCCGCGTCCCGGACCACTGATTCAGAACTAACTGCTTCGAAGCTTCTTGTTTCCGACAGCGGCAGCGCCGGCCTGTCATCAGCGTCAGTGTCGCCGCCATATTGGACCGGGCAGCTCTTTGTCAGAAGACTGGTCTGAAGAAAATATGCCTGATTCGTGTGCTGCTTGGGGCTGCAAAAACCGCCGCACAATCCAAAGCAGATACCGCGGAATTACTTTTCACAAGTAAGACTGTTGCGTCTGGTTGTATCAGGTCATTTTTACATTAACAGAGCCATACTGTTCATTGCTAACGATAACAGTCGCTAACTGTAAAAGCTGAGACTGTATAAGATATCTTAGAGGTGAAGTTCTTATAAAGTCTCAGGCTGTATTATAGTTTATTTAGGGATTTATTATAGTGGTCCAATCAGCATGACCCATCTCGACTTTGACAACCCATCGCACTGTTTTGAGCAGCGCCACCAAGCCACGTAGCTGTGTACCTAAATCTTGAGCTAAACGCGTTACAGAAATGAAATGAAGCTGAGTGAAACTTTGTGCATTTCTGTGATAGGACAAACATTTTTTTGAGAAGTAAGTTTGTGTGACAAGTTCACTTTCCTTATTATTTCAGCTGATAACACAATAACAAGGTACACACTGGTTTTTCATTGTTTATTACTTACATTATTAGTTATCAGAAGTTTTTACTACTATTAAAAATAGTTTACTAAACAAATAATACACAAAATATTTTTTTCACGTGACACCAAATCCTAAAAAGGCTTTTGCTTCATTTACTTTACTGAAAACGTAGAAATGTCTAATTATTCTTCCAAAAATTCCATAGCTGTACTAAATACAGACACCATGCAAGTTATTACGGTTTGGACCTTTGGTAGGAAGAAACTGTATACAATGAACCTGTTGAAATTTAGAGTACCCATGCTTTACATTGTAAACCACATTGCCCAAGACTTATCATCTATGTTGACTTTTTTCTATAAACTGACTTTAATGACAAGCAACTTGTTACGGGTGAGTGACTGACATATTGTGAATCTGACGATTGTTAGCTGGCTATGTAACTTTTCTCACATTTGAAGGTTTCCTAGGGAGAAAGCATTGAGGAGGCAGTGGGAAATAGCTACAAGAAGGAAAGGTTTTTCCGCCAGCGACTGCTCTGTGCTGTGCAGTGAGCACTTTAAGCCACGGGATGTAGACAGGACAGGTCAGATTGTCAGGATTCGAGAAGGAGCTAAACCATCTGTCTTCAGTTTCCCAGCTCATCTACAAAGAGTAGGTTTACCACTATATTATACAATTGTGATAGCTTGTCATTAGGCTCAGTTATACATTTTTCTTCAACCTTAGCCAGTGGCACCCAGGAAAACAAGAACATCAAGGAAAGCTGAAGAGAGGCCGCCAGTGGACTGTTCTCAGCAGTTACAAGAGACTAAACCTGTAGTGAGTATTCGAATGAATTATGCACCAAAATGCTATGATTTTGAGTGATGTGTTATAAACATTATAACATAAAAATGTAATTTTCCTTTCTTCTAGGATCACTCTTATGCATTGCCTGCAGATCCCACTGATCTAAAGGCTAGACTCGGAGAAGCCTTGGCTAGAGTGGAGAGTCTGGAGCGAGACATGAGGAACGTGAAGAAACGAGAACAGAGGGCAAAGAACATGGTGCTAGCTCTTCTAGAGGACCTGAATGGAAAGAACTTCATAAATGACGAGTTGAAACACAAGCTCAATTTCTACTCTGGGAAAATGAAAATAAAAAGTTGAACTGTGTGGCGGCTGAGTTCCATGGATGCCAAGCCTGGTGTTAAAATGATGTTATATATGTTGATATGTATTTTTGATTTGTCTATAGTTCCGGTGCAGTGGTTTGGTGGGAATAGTCTCCAGTCTTGTGTGATATAATTTAATATTAATAAATATTACAATAATATTGTCTAGTGAAAAATATTTAAAGTGTGCAGTAAATGTAACTTTTTTTTTTTTTCAAAAATGTTTTTTTTCTGACTGCATTATTGTAATACAATTAGCATTAAACTTAAATTCAGGAACTGTTGTGGGATCTTTGATTTTGAAAACAAAAAACAATAGTGACATGGGTCTTCTGTGTATTTGATGGCTTTTTGATTTTAGATATGGGGGTTATCATTTTGAGAAATATGTTTCAGGAAATGTTTTTGCAATCTGGAAAAACTGCCGTACTTTATATGCCATAACAAAACCATGAAAAATTTTTCATTACATTTACAACCATTTCCATATATGGAACCTCTTCTATATATATATATATATATATTTTTTTTTTCATTGCATACCACTGAATAGTGTTTTATCAGAAACTAGCAATATGGTTTATTAATTTAGCATACTCATGGTATATCATTAAACCAGTGGGGTCAGCTAAAAGTAGCTTAAAACATGGTAATAAACTTTTTTGAAATGGCATTCAAACAATGACATCTTGCCACCTTAAAGTTCATTCGGTACAGATCAGAAAATTGGGTGTTGGTTCCATCTTCAGCATCTGAACTAATTCAGCCCGTTACATCCACTATCTGAGAACAGCATAAATGCTTAAGTTTACCATATTAATACTGACTTGCATACAAACTCTGAAACAACTGCAACTTAAACTTGAAAATGATTAAACTGACAAAGGCTTTCAAATATATGTAAAAGCACTGCTTCACATTTCCTTTTTTTTTAATCACTGTTGACCATTTTGTATCTGCACTCCATACAGCCCATTACACCTGCATATGCTTTACCAAAGAAATTCAAAAGTATTCGGGAAAAGCAAAGAATTTAAAGCAATATTGGTCTACATACAGCAACTTGAGAAAACTCTTGAATGTCATAAAACATGTTCCTTTTCTTCTTAAACATCTGTATTAATCACTCCTATATATTGACAGAAGTATGTTTACAAACCAGGAGGTGTTTTATCCTTTTATTTGTATCTGGACAACAACAAAAAAAGACAAAAAAAAAAAAAAAGAGAACAAAAACAATTGTTCATGTATATGTTTGTGTGACATGTTCAGTTTGTGTGTCCGTCACTCATTCATATCGTCGGTTAAGTCAAGTCAGTCACAGTTTGGGCAATTGTAGGCAGAGGAGGAAAAGAAAGAAAAAAAGATTTAAATATAAATACATTTAAAAGGAAAGAAATTACCAAACCAGGATACAATTTCCACCTGGCAAGTCTTAATATTGAGTATGAAAAGTACTTAAACATGTAGCATTGTAAACACAGGTGAGTCCGCATTACTAGACACAGCCATATACATCGGCTCCAGGTTTGAAAGAGACAAAAAGTCTCCAAATGTCAACATCTACAAGATCTAGGACGGAAGACCATAAAGACCCAATTTCACTTATTTGTGGCCTTTTGTAAATATTTTATTGTTTTCTGCACTTCTCAGAAGTTATTTTAAGGAGTAAAGAGCAGTGCAAGGACTGCAACTTTAAACTGTGCCAATATAACAATATAACTGTTAAATTTCTGGTTTAATTGTAGTTCACAGAGATACACGGATCATATGACACCCAGTTTTGTTTTGTTATTTAAAGTGAATGTCCTTCAATGAGAACAAAACATTTGTGAAAGAGGCCTGAACGGATTTGGATTTGCTGTAATTGTGCTACGGTTAGTTACACAGGGAAGTTAGACTTGAAACAACAAAGTTGGGTCTACATGGTCAGCTAGTGTGCTCATAAACACCACACACAAAAAAAAAACTCAACGAGGGCAAGAAAAGAATTTACAGAGTTTCTCCTTCAATTGTTAGCAATTTTCCTCACTTCCTCTATGCCAACAGGACAAAGTTCAAAAGAAACACAAGCGAAGCAAACAGTACACACTGAGGCAGTATTCCAACATTGCATTGGCCTTGGATAAAAGTATTAATCCAGCACAATAAATTAGGCATTTTTTTTCTTTATACCTTTGAGTTTACCAATTTGGTGTACAAATAGCAGACCATCACATCTCTACTGAAACTGTGGCAGACAATGTAACCTCTAATTTGTAAGATAAGAAAATAGAGCAGCAATATTTGCACAACATATATGTGCACATTCAAGTAAATAAAAAAGAAAAAAAAAATCAAAGACAGATTGATACGCATCAGCCTCTTGTCTTTGTTGGTCTGATTGGCACTTTTGTGAATAGGAGTGCATTTCCATTAAGAGATCATTTCTTTGCGTTTTTTGATCAACACACCCGTGGTCTTGTAGACCATTAGATGTATTTTAATGAGCATAGTTTGCGTCCCTTCCCCCAATCATTTCAGTCTATTTTCCCATTTCTCTGATGTGTATGGAAATCTGGATGACTGCAGCATCCTCATTCCAAGATGGACTTCCTGTAAATGCAGCAAATGTCATCTACTATCACGCAAAACTAGGATTTGAACCGATTTAAAGTTGATACTGTTGTCAAAGAACATCAGATCGTGGAGAGGTATTTTCAAAGAGTTCAATTCGAGTCTCGCTTTCAAAAAGGTTCTTGAACCAGAATTACTATGGAAACCTCCTTTCGGTTATCACTTCTGATCAGGAATCGCATCAGATTGACATTTATAGAAGGACAAGGCTTCTAGATACTAGGCAACTGAAGACAGGATGCTGATACAAGCGGCACTTTCTTTCACAAATCATCCGTCAGTCAACGTCTCGCTATGTTTTCATAGATACAGGCCCGTCCTAAATCAAATAACCCCTAGTATCCACTCAGAGAAGCACCCTTCGGTCAGTGTACTATGGAGGTAGAGGAAAAATGCTTCCATAATGAACTGAAAAGTTTACTCGCAGTTTTTAAAGTAAACCACATTAAGTTTCGTACGGGGCGAGAGGTTAATATTCAAACTTTTCATTCAATCCAAGACAGCCCAACATCAAACCCGGGTGTGTTTACCTTTTAGTGCGTCAACTCAAAAAGTGCCAAACGGTGGAACAAATCAACGTGAACGTACTTGCATACGGAGAAAAAAGAAAGAAAAAAGATTTTTGGAGATTATGGAAGTCATTTCCCCTCGGTTTTATGCTAATCTGTTTGTGTACATGTTTATGAAGTGTATGCTGGTCTTGTATGCATGTGTGCAAGGTGTATGCAAATAGAACATAATATCTATATATATTTTTTATTTTTTTGCCCATATATTTCATTTAAATAAGTATTTCTTGCCATACCTAAAGCACCTGCAAAACTACAGAAACCGGAACTACTCCATCTAATCAGTGCAAGCTAATTGTTGAATGAAGATCTGGCAAGGGATACAAAATTATCGTTGAACACCATGCAAAACCCCAACATGCACATACTGAGGGCTGCGCTGAACAAACACCTCGAACCACCCAGAATAACTATGCGCCAATTAATGACTAAAAACAGAGCAGAATTAAGACTCCATTGTGCATCAATCCGGCCCTCAGATGTGTGTGTATTTCCCCCAGATCACATTTCAAAGTTAAAGCCTTTTGATCAAAAGAAGAGTAATTCATAACACTGCACACCACGAACATCCTACAACTAGATATTTCACCTCTGACTGGTTTTTAAAAAAAGAAAAAAAAAGAAAAGACAACTGGGCATTATCTTTACTAAATGGGCTCTTTGGGCCCCACTTTTCCAGTCATTGTCTTTTAATAGTAATGACTTTTTATGTTAGGATACTCTTTTACTAAAATACCTGGATTATTTCAACACCACCACGTCAAATAGACTCTACATAAACTCCACACCCAGCATGGTCTGAAATGATGAATACTAATACTAAGAGAAATGAAACGGCTTCACAAAGGCTTTGAAGAGTGCTTAAATCCTCATGAAACGCATCTGCAGATATTACGGTAAAGTTTCGTTTATAAAGCACAGCCATATCAAACATAACCAGGCGTGTTTAATTACCAGGATATGAATAATGAAGAGAGAGAAAAAAAAAAAAAAGGAATTCTAGAAATGCAAAACGATGAAAAACAAACCAGGATCAAAATATGAAGGGTTTGGATTTTCTGATTTTAAATAAATGAGAAAATTCTCTAATCTTTCAGTGAAAGGGGAGAATTGTAGCATGCCTCCCCTTGGGAAAAAAAAAAAAAAAAGGACACAGCGCCACGATTTCTACCTGAGGGGATGATTATATAGCTGCATCACTGAGGGGGGGAAATGAAAGAAACTGAAATCCTTGTCTCTCTTGTGTGAGACACACCTCAGTGTCTAAATGAATCAGTTTGGGTCATGGGTCGAAATTTGGTTCACTCAGATTTCAGTGGTTGAGTGTTTCCGGCATATGGTTTAGTAGCGGTGTTGGGTGCAGGGATGGGTGTAAAGGTAAGGGGCGGCTGGTTATAGCTGGAAGCCCTCCATGGGGGCCTCCTGCTGCGGGAAAAGAAACTGCTGCTGGTTCTCATCCACCTGTGGAGCCAGACTGGCATCCTCTTCCTCTACTCCAAAGTAGTGCTCGATGAGGTCAAAGGCTTTCTGGTAGATCTCCTGATTTTCATGACTCTGTAGGAACTCGATTTTGTCCAACCCTGACAGAGAGAGAAAGAGAATGAGAGTTTACACACACACACACAAAAATAAAAATGATTTACACTAAATTGATCAAAAGTGCTAGTGAAGACTTATACATTAAAAAATCTATTTCAAATAAATGCTGTTCTTTCGAACTTACCATTTATCAAAGTATACAGAAAAAACTTTTTTTTATCACACCCCCCAGCATCATATTTGCTGAATGAAATACAATGTTTCTTAATTTTGGGGTGCTAATTTAAAAAATTGTGCCCGTTTGGATTTAGCATGTTACAATTTCTACAAAATACGTGCATTTCTCAGCATTTTGCCTTTGAATAATCATTTGTAAGGTGAATAAATCTTGCCTT